CAGACACGCCCAGCTCCAAGCTTTTTTTGAAGCTATAGTGTGGACGGGCCGTAAGTGATGGGAGTGGGGGGTGTTGGCTTATCAAGCGCCCGCAGCTCAAAGCCAAAGTAAGTAAGTAAGTAAGTAAGTAAGTAAGTAAGTAAGTAAGTAAGAGAGAGAGAGAGAGAGAGAGAGAGAGAGAGAGAGAGAGAGAGAGAGTCTCTCCAGAATACTTTGCCATGAATCCATATCAGCTTTGAAGTTCAGAGGTCTAAGTTCTGAAGGTAATGAAATAGTTATCACAACATGTCCCAAAGTTAAAAGGGAGATATGAAAGCATGGAAGGGGAAAAATTGCGCTTAGAAGTTATAGTCCTTAAAAAAAAGATTGTGAACTGCTAAAACTGAGCTTGAATTCTCATGCAAAATAACCTCCTTTTGTAAAGTCTAGCAGGCTTGCAGGATATCATTAAAACATTATTTGTAAAATATAAATCAGAGAATGCACTCTGATACTGCATGTAATAAAGCTTTCTAATACACCATGGACCCATCAACCAGACAGTCATCTATCTTTACAGTTTAATTGCATGTTACTCATGGGTAATGGATAGTGATTCAAACTGAGGAGAAACCTTGGGCAACTTCTTCAACCCTCTCACAGGAGGGCACAAGTGTCTTAATCAATATTATATGGTAAACAATCACAGCAGCCAGGGGAGACTTTCGAGGCGTGGGCGTTGGAGAGCAGATGGGGAGAAATAAATTGTGAAAACATGAACTGTACAGCAGATGTTTGCAGCTACAACAGGAACAAATTTGACTTTAATGATGGTGAAATAATTGATTAATTGTAGTCGTGCAGTGAAGCAGCCCGAGTGCTTCCCTTTGCATCTTAAATGAAGAATTGTTGAGATGGCAGAACCAACTGGATACTTTTTCAATACTTTGGTCCAGAGCACAATATATTCAAGCAACGACTGGCCAGATCTTCCTTTGAACGGTTGTGAATTTTTATTGGCCAAAGGCTGATTATTATGGACTTAAGTCACTTCATGTCCTACGGGGCATGATGTTCAGGGTTAAATTCTCCTATCGAAAACACTTTTCAAGGTAACAAAACAAATCTAATTTCTGTGTATTTTGCTGTTGGACACTTTATCGAGGGGATCAACCCGGATATTTCCTCAATCCTCTAATCTTTTCTTTGAGGCCATTATCAGGCCAAACTTTGCCCTTGTACAAATTACAATCTAATGACAAGAATGTCACATTACTTATTTGAACATTATATTCCCCAAAGGATCAAACACTCTCTGTTTTATTTAGCAGCATCCTCGGGCAAAGCATCAACTCTGAATGTGTGATATAAACAGGCAGGCCCTCATTGGGATAATTCCTTTTAATTGTAATGTCCCTCATGCAGCACAAATTAAAAGAAAAGCCCCCCGCTGGTTTCACGCTCACGCAGACTTTTAGAGTCGGTTGTGAATTGAACCACCATAGTGAATAGCACCATTTATTATAAGTTAAAGGTCCCATATCATGGCCGTTTCTAATGATCATAATTCCATTGTTGAGGTATACTACAATAGATTTATATATTTGCAATTTTCCAAAATCCCATTGGTTTCTCATACAGCATCTCTGTATAGTATGTGTATTCTCTCTCTGAGAAAAGATTGAGTGTGTGTGCTAGGAAGTCCGCAGATTGGTCCATTTGGACCAATCCACGGACTTAACCTAACGGCTCCGCGGATGTAACGGCTCCATGGATTGTTCTATTTGGACCAATAGGTCCATTTGGGTATGGGCACGTCACTGTACCAAGGAAGAAAACAATGGAAAAAGAGAAATCTCCAACGAGGCGTTCTGGCGCAGTATCGACAGGTATTTTCTGTGTTAGAGTTTTACTCGCTACAGGGTGTACTTTGAGGGTTTGTGACTCTACAGACCGTTTATATGCATAAAAACCTTCATAACACACAAGGGGACGGGTAATAACCGGCATGCTGCTAAGGAAAGTATCTGTTTTTTCTACACCTGTAGGCCTATAGTTACTGTCCTGCACTAGTATTGTGGTGACATTTTAGCTAAGTGAGTCAGCTATGTACTCAACCCACACAAGAAAGAGACGCAAGTAAGAGCTTGAAACTTTACAGTATGTCTGTGCGTGAGGGAGGGAGTGAAATCAAAGTTTTAATGGCATTAGCCCTGAATAAACAGTGAAGGATCATGTGTACATAGAATGTGCGGGAATCCAACCTAAACTAGGTATGCCTAGTGCTGACATCCAGTCTCGTTAAATGTCTCATAGTGCTCAAAAACCCATGCCAAT